GTTGTGCTTGATCGTCTTGTATCCACTGAACAGGCTGTAAAAGGCTTGACGATCCAACATAGACTTCACTTGGTTTGCGCAATCATTGACGAAGAAGCAGTGCTGATCAATTTGCATCAGTCAAAGGCCTTCAAAAGGATTGACCATTGTTTTTTGGAGGCTGTCTTGTCCATGGCTGGATTTGAGCCGGATTTTGCTCTTGGGTTTGACTCTTGTATACAAGCTCATGCTATGGTGGAAGTGAATGGGGAAAGATTAAAGCCTTTCTGCTTGTTCAGATACATTCATCAGGGTTTGACCTCTCTCGCCTTTGCTCTATGTGCTTGCACTGAAGACTTTCCTGTACAGGGTGAGGGTGAACCCAGTCCTTTGTGGGATCATGCTAACTGGTACCACCACCTTGGCCAGGTACACCACCTATGCTATGAGATTGATGAAGTCGAAGGAGAAATCTGGACTTATAAGACAGTGACAGTGATAAGTCTGTTTGCTTCAGGTTAGGTTCATGGAAAGGTTTACCTCTCCTGATTCCCTTCAGTTGTACAGGTGCGCTGTGCAAGATACTTGGCATCTGGTTTGGTCTCAACATCGAGCTAAAGAAGAATTGGTTGAAAAGTTCTGTAGAATGTCGTAGCTTCAGTTCATCTGTGGCTATGAAATCATTCCTTGAAGTGGAGGGGCAAGTGTGTGTGTGTTTTACATATATCTACTCCCTCATCCTTCAGTGTCTCTCAGTTTTGCCACTCCCATGCACCACTCTAGACAACCTAGAGAAAACATTGTCTCATCTCCTATGGTGTCTTGCAATCTGCTGCCTCTATTCATCCAAGGGCAGTCTAGGAATGCCAGACATACAGAAACATTGAGATATTTTGACTGCATTTCCTGGAATTGATGTGTACACAGAATGATGAGAACTGCACCTTCTGGAAGGTGGATGCTGTAAAAGCGTTTCCGTCTTTGAGGAGCGTGCACTTATTTTAGTAGGAGGCCCACCTTCTGTCCCAAGGTGAGTGCTATTTCTATCGCATGTGCCATCAAGCACTGAAAGTTCTTTCTCTGATATATACTGGCCTCTCTGAGATCCGACCATTGTTGAGAAAGACTTAATATTGTGTGTTTGTTGGTGGGGAATGATTCATGATGATCTGATTGAGGTGATTGGTCTCCCTCTAAGGGAGTTTCATTTCATATGGACTTGGATGCATGGGTTTAAATACCTCACTAATGATGAGGCATTATTCACCTGGCTGATGATTCGGAACGTGTTCTGGGTCGGCAAAAAGTCTTTTGCAGTGGAACTGGTTGCTTCACCAGAATGCATTTGGGGGGAGGGGAATGGAAGTGTCCATTGACCACACCTTTCACTGTTTGGTTGTACGTCCACTGTTTGAGATTATTGAAGACTACATATGTGGACAAAAGGAAGCATTCTGTGCTTAATCGCTGTGATGAGAATGGTGATATGGACAACCACTATGAAAGATGTTCACAGTGGGTTGTCTCGCTCTTCCCATCACCTGATTGCATTCTTCAAGTACCAGCCGAAGGTCAAATCAGGGTTGAGAGGGAGAGGCTTTTGAGGACTTTGTTTTTCTTTATACTAATGTTCACCAATCAACATACACAAAACATTCTATCATCTTTGATTACAACCTTGATGTGGTTTCTCAAATGATTACGTGAATTGATCAGGTGTTTTTTTTTTATTCATGTTGGCTATGACATCCATGATATCAAACTTCTGTGAGTTTTTGGTATTGCGAGCATGCTTGTTGGTCTTCCACACAATGACACATCAGATATTGTCTAAAGGACAGCTAAGAGGTCAGATCTTACAGGTAACATGATTGTAGGTACCTCCACTTTTTTCACTAAAAAAGAGTATCACATGATGAAAAAAGCCCCCCCCCAAAAAAAAAAAAAAAAAAAATTTTTGTTATTATTAAGAGGAAAGACCAAAGTATTTTTTATTATTTTATTAATTTTTTTAATCCTTTGTACCACGTTTGAAATTTTGGTTGAAAATTTTGTTTTTTTGGCATCAGCAGTGGGCCAAAAATTACTATGGGAAATTAGTATCTTTTTTATGGTAAAAACACATTGTTTTGGAAATTCTTGAAAAAATCAAAAAATTGTTGGATTTTAATGAGATTTTCAGGACTTATTCACAAATGAATTTATTTTTTTTAAATATTTTTTTTAGAAAATCTTGTTAAAATATATTTTCTTTTTTACAGCTGTTACCTCCACTTAATTTTATGAAATTTTGATTTGAATATTTTTTATATTAGTTAAAAGTAAAACTCAGAGGAGAATGTAAATCATAATTTTTTTTTTTTTTTAATCTGCTCTGAATCATAAAATTAAAATGCTTTGACATTAATTAGAAAAGCTTTTTATTGCTTTTATGAATAAGATATATTAAGGACACTAATGTCTTAAAGAATTTTTTGGAATGAATAATGAATTTCTATCAGAATTTTTTATCATTTTTTTAAAATTTTAATTCTAATAATTTATAAAGTTTTAAATCTTTTAAATTTCTGCGTTACTTTGACCCCTATTAGGTGAGTTTGTTATTAAATAAAAACTGTATTTGCTAATCATGAATGGAAAAGCTTAATACAAATCATCACACGCCAAGGTTTTTTAAAAGAATTTTGAACTTTTTTTAATTAGTGTATAAATTGCCAATTTTTGTCAGTACAACAGACCATAAGCAGCATTAGCAGAAAATAAGAGCAATAGTTATATTAAATTTAAAGCTGAAATTTCTAAAATTCAATAAAACATTAGATTTCATAGAATATTTTCCTAAATATTTAAGATTACTAAGTACTTAAAAATTATATAAAAGGTGCTCGCATCATTTTCTGTTTTAGAGATAAAATCTTTGTAGAACAACAGTCTGCCATCACCTTGTCAAGCACGGCTACCATTGGTTAAAGACAGCTACAGTTTGGTTGAAAAATTAATTTCTACAATATTTTGAATAAGTAAATAATATTTGTTTCAAATTGGATTAATTATACTTTAAATCAGCTAATATACCTCAAAGTTTCAGAAAGGTATATTTTATTTTTGCAAGATTTTTAAAACTGAGAACAAACTTGTGTTTACTAATATCTAAAAAATTGATGATTTTGACAATGTCGCTGAAAAAATGAAAATCTATTCCAATCAATATAATTTCTGTTTGAAATACATTACAGAGTAATTTGCTTACTGGAAAAAGTAAATTTAATCCTTTATCTTTCAATTAAAGCTTCAAGAAAGCTTTTCCATTTTTAAAAAATTAATCTAAACCTCTTGATCTCAGTGTAGGTACTGACATAATTGGGAAAATATTTGGATTCATAGGATTTGTCAGCGGTGTAAAAGGGAGCAGTGTGTTGCTGGTGTATGTACCATGTTCCCTGTGATATTTCCTCTATCCAGGGTTTGCTATCCAGTGTCTCAATGTAAGTGCTTGCATTAACCCTAGGACCATGTGGGGATTGGGGGGGGGGTCAGTTGGGAGGCACAATGTGCTCACAACCCCCTAATCATCACAGACGATAGGAACTTGCTGTGCATAACGGTATGTACTTCAGTGATGTCTGGCGCACTGCCACCTATCCCTCTTTCTGTTCAGTTTTGATCTTCAACAAAGTTCCTCTGAATTGTTTGTTGAGAAAAAACAGTATGTTGGGCTTCTCAGAGTGTTTGACTTTGGCAAACACTTTGACTGGATCACATGGGTCTCCTGGGTACTAATGGACATCATGTGCCCTATTTTCAGAACATAAGATTTGTATCAGATATTTTCAAACATCTGATTGTCGAATCTGATACATATTCTCAGGATAACTTAGACTTGCCAGATAAATTTTACATTCCTGGCATGCCTGTTGAGAATGTTTTTTTTTTCTTTTGGCCACTGAAGACAAATTCTTGCCAAGTACCCGGAGTTTTTTTTTTATTAAACATGAGAGAAGGCTACAATCTCCAAATCTGTGTGGTTAGTCAGTAAAGCAATGAGAGCTTCTATGTCAAGTGAATATATTTTATAGTAAATTGCATTCAATACAAAGCCTGAGAGACATTCAAATTAGAGGTTTACCGTCAAGATGTTAATGCTGAATGAGGTTGTATCATATGAATGGAAGAGAAAACAATAGGAAGTGAAGATTGCGGATAAGGAAGAAAAATGATGATTGACCCTTGATATGAAGAAGTTAAGATTGAAGTGTCCAAGAAAACTAATCACATACAAGTCTTTTCCCCAAAGTAGCATTTTTTTGGCAAAAGCTATCCAAGTGAAACTTCCTTTTTTACATTTGGTATACAGAGGAAACAAGGACAATTCACCTCTGAACGTAACATGGCATTTCATTATTGTAAATGTCCGAACAGATGGAATTGAAGAATGGATCTCATCTGCCCCTTCTCCATGGAAATAATGGTAGTATTGATAGGCTTGTAGCATTGAGTCTGTTGGAAATTGGCTGCAGAGTGGAGAATAATTCTCTGCAAGACTGCATAAACCATTTTGAACTCTATCAAGGAACTGCAAACTGTAATCTAAAGTATTCAAAAACAGGAATTAAAATATCTTCTGTCCTTCAGAGCATCTCCAATTCATTACATTTTATTCTTGTTTTCCTTTTAATCCCCAGAGTTTGTGATATTTAAAAAAAAAAAAAAGTATAAATAAAATATTGTAAGAGAAAAGTGATAAATTTCAAAGATGTTTCATGGAATCTTTCAAATGCAAATATTTGCTAGAAGCATGACTTTTCAACTAAAAATTCTCAATTGACCATGTGGCTATTTTGTTTATTTTCTATTTGATGTGTGTGTTTTTTATTGCGTGAAAATTTCAGCTAAAGAATAACACCTGAGAAATTATAAATTTCACTTTATTTGCCTATTGACGATAATTTTTTTTATTTTTCAGTGGACTTTGGTCTAAAAGTAATCCAATGGTCACCAACTGAAACTATAAAACTTCAATTATGGGATATTGCTGGTGAGAATTTTGCTCAAATATCTAAAACCTTGTATTTTCCAAATTTCTTTTCATTTCAGTCTCAAATTTTAAACAAAATTTCACTAAACCCACTAAGCATTTCTCACAGAAATATTTTCAACAAAGTTTCATTGAATTTTAAAAGCAAAAAAAAAAGAGAAGAATCCACATTTAGTTTCTGCATATGTTTACTCTGCATATTCAAATTTTGTAAGGAATATAAATGAGATTTCATTGCAATTAACTGGCTGATGAGTTTCTAAACAACCGTCTTTGTTTTGTGCAATTCTAGATTATCTTTAGTCAGAGAATGGCTGCATTAAACAATGCAGTCAGTTTACTTTTAATTTCTTTCAATTCTTTAGACTATCTTCTATTTGCTTTTTAAGTTTCAACTGAACATGCATGTCCTGGGGCGTCCTGGATAAGACGTTAAACTACATCCACATCCTGGGTACGATGTTAAACTACATCCAGTAGCAAGGCCTTTGATCAGGAGGTTTTGTGGAGCGTGGAATCACCTCTTAATTGCTGGTGTTCCCAGGTCCACCTTGACCCGGGGTGTGACGTCGTCCCCTGGTCGCAGCGCCAACTGTGACGAGCTCGCTGCGGCGCCAGCTGTTCGCTCTTCGCTGCTCCAAATGTGACATCCACCTGTCGCGTCAGTCGTGTTGTCTTGTCCTGTGACGACCAACTGGTTTGGTATCGGTCGCGGCACCCAAATGTGACGTTCTAACCTTTTGGTGATTCGGGTGGGAATCTGGTTAGATTTGATATCAGCCTCGTCGTTCCCAACTCGCTTCCAACGCCTGGTTACCAAGGTAACTGCATTGATCTCCAGTCTGCCTACCCACGTTGTGAATTGATCTTAGGCAGACGAGATCAATCAGTAGTTGGAACCGTAATGCAAATCGGGTTCAACGGGGGTGACACCACACAAATATGCATAAAAAGAAAATAAAATGAAAACTCAAAATTCAAGGTATCAAAAAGAAAAGATAACAAACTTTATGTCTAGTTGTTCGATACATAGGACCGCGTCTATCTCCCGACCTGTTCTATGGATTGTGACATGTTGTTTTCCGTTAGGGCGAGTTTTAACGCTTCAAGTTGTTTGCTCTTTAAGAAATTGGTTTTTCGGTGTGTCTTCGGACGAAAGTCGAAAAAAACTTATTTTAGTGGTCTGGATCTAAGTCACTCTTCAAAATAATTGTTCTTGGATTGAAGAGGAGTCCGAATGTGCGTGAATCTTTCAAGTCAGCTATCTGCAGGCGGAACCAACTTCCACTGCGAAGCTTTGAACTCTCTGCTGCAACTCCACTCTGCTGAACTGAACTCAACTGATTTCTGCTTGCTGCGGCTTCAGCTTATATGGACGCCGACCAAAACCGGGTGGGTTTGTCGGCGTCGGGGTTCCTCGATAATTCTAAATACATATCCACCTCTTTTATTTCTGGTTAGGAATTTTCCACTCTTTTCCATTTTTGGGAGCCTTTTCTTACTCCCACCTTCTCACCATACTTCAGAGGGACGTGAGCTGCCCTCCCCACTTCTTCGTAGCAGCTTCTCATACCTATCCTCTGGATGGGCGGCGACAGCCTCCTTCGTGTGTCACGTGATCACCACTCGACCAATGGTGTCTTAGTCGGGCATGGACGAATCCGCGGCTTTGTTTCAGGAAAAAAAAATATCTTACTTAACTAAAAAAAAAATTAGCTTTTCTTTTCCTTTTCTTCCTCTTAATCGCAGTTATCATTTTCTCTAGCCGCAAACGACGGTGGTCATAACTCTTGTTCTACACCTGGATTTCGTCAGTCATCTTATTGCTAATTATCAGAATGGGTGGTCTTTTTAACACGACCAGACGTCGCCCCGAAAAGAACATTTCTAAGTTCCCATTCATTTCCTTTCGGTACATATTTCTGATAACATAATTTTATTATTATAGGCCAAAGATGTTCCGTCGAAAAGAAATTGGTCAGTGGACACATCGTGTGCGGCTTTTTGACACAAATTTTTCATATCTATCCAAAGCCCTTTTGTCCACCTGTTTTCCGTCACTTATCGAAATAACATTTTCATTTGGATTTTTCTTTGGCCAGCAGTTTGTTTACGCATCCCAGATCACAGCCGTCGCCAAAACACACCCGATTCCTTTATCCACTCAGAATTTCCCTGTCATTGTAATGACACTCTTTCGCCATTTGTTACTTATCAAAATATCCTTTAACCATTGTCTCTTAGCCGTGGTGTTCTGCTTATTTTTTTTTTTCCTTTTCTTTCTTTTCTTTTTCTGCCTCGGTAAATGGTACCACAGAGTGGTAACACCTCTTAGGGTCCCAGCTATGGGCAAATAGTTAACTATTACCAGCAATATTTTTTTGAAAAAAAATTATTACCAGCAATACAATTTTAAAGGAAATATATTACCAGAAACAGATTTTTGACAAAACAAAATATTACCAGCAATAAAATTTTTGTCAGCATTAAATTGAGGTTGATATGCCGAAAAACAAAATAAATCAAACCAATCTAAACCAAAGAATACATACTCTATTCATACGAATCTATCCTAAAAACGTTGTTGGCATTAAATAACCCATTGAGGTTGATATGCTCTTAAACAAAATAAACCAAACCAAATCAAACATGTCCTGGGTATGACGATAAACTACATCCACATCCTGAGTAAGATGATAAACTATGTCCAGCAGCAAAGCCTCCGATCAAAAGGTTTTGAGGAGCGTGGAACTACCTCATAATTGCTGGTGTTCCCAGGTCCACCATGACCTGGGGTGGTAGCACCTGTTAGGGTCCCAGTTATGGGTAAATAGTTAACCTCCAAACTGGGGTCAAAACACTATGAAAGTGTAAAAATAGGTTTTAATACCAGAAATATTTTGTAAAAAAAATTATCAGCAATAAATTTTTGAAGAAAAAAAACTATTACCAGTAATACATTTTTGAAAAAAAAAAAAAAAATATTACCAACAATACATTTTTGAAGGAAAAAATTATTACCAGAAATAGATTTTTGACAAAACAAAATATTACCTGCAATAAAAATTTTATCAGCATTAAATAACCCATTGAGGTTGATATGCCATAAAACAAACCAAACCAAACAACTGAACACACATTGGAACCTTCTAACGATTAGAAATAAATGGAATCAATGTAAATTCATTTGATTGGTAAATACAAAAGAAATGTCATGTTTTAAAAATCGGTAAAATGAAGAAAAAAAAAAAAAGGAAGCATAATTTACAATACATTTTTGCATAGTGTTACTAATTTAGCATGAAGAGGCAGCAGAAGTCATCAATAGGCTGTACTTTTTCAAGTCCTTCCATGACTACTGTGATTGTGTTATTCAGTCATGTCTTACCAGTAAAACTCTCTTTCTAATATCTACCTTCTGTTTTTTTTTACTATATTTTCTAGACATTGGTATGACAATAAACCACATCTGGCAGCTAGGCCTCTGATCGGGAGATTGGAGGTTTTGAGGAGTGTGGAACCACCTCTTAACTGCTGTTGGTCCCAGGTCCATCTTAACCGGTGTGGTAGAACTTGTTAGGGCCCCAGCTATGGGCAAATAGTGAACTCCCAAACAAAAACAAAACACTATGAAAGTATAAGAATACATTTTTATAGTAAAATGACTGCCACTATATTTTTATATAAAAAAATGACCAACAATTGCATTCAAAAAATATTTAGTTGAAGCCATAAAATTGTGTTCAAAATATTTAGGTTTCGGCATTAAATAACCCATAGAGATGTTGATATAACACTAAAAATCGATCAACCAATCAAGAGGAAAGAACTCTTTCAGGACATTAATCCATATAATATCAGACAATTTCTTAAAGAAATTAAAATGCATTCCAAAATATAACTTCAACAAAACTACAACATAAAACATACATATCACTACCTCTAGTAATTATGCTCACACAAACACGCATATGCACAAAAGCTGAGTATCATCTGCCATGTATTCAATTGTGAAAGTATAATGAAATATATCATATTTTTATTACTTCAAAGCTCCAAAGAAAATTAAATTTTGGTATTAAATGACCCATAAGGAGTTGATGTGCCGTTAAATAGACAAATCAATAAATCTACCCATTGGACAACGATGAAGCAACCTTCTAATCCACCTGTTATCATTTCTTCTATGTATCCTCAACAAATCTGTTTTTGTCTTGTAATCAATTTTATGACATTGTCCTGGTCTCTTGGTTTCATGTTGACTCTGTGATGTTATTTGTTATACAAAGATTGATTTTCTGTCTATATTTCTGAGATGAGGTATTATGTACATTATTATTCTCATCTTTGTCGCCATATTTATTACAACATTTCGGCCATTGTACGCTCCGGCCTTCTTCAGGTGGTTGGAATGTTGAACTTAACCCTTTATTTCGCTCACTGGGGTAGACTGTTCTAGTTCCATGTTTAATGGATGTCAGTTATCAGTTATCTCCTGTTAATTCCCCTCTCCAAGTTCTCCACTGCCTTAACTGGGTATTGAACTCACACTGTTTGGGTCCTGTCACTGGATCTAACCAACAATTCATACACAGATGTCCTCAAGGTCACATGGCACAGTGGATAAAGGCGTTGGTTAGATCCATTGACAGGACCCAAAGAGTGTGAGTTCAATATCCGGCTAAGGCAGTGGAGAACTTTCAGTGGGGAATTAGCAGGAGATAACTGATAACTGACATTCATTAAACATGGCACGTAGAACTAGAACAGTCTACCCCAGTGTTGTAATAAATATGGCGACAAAGATGAGGACAATAGTCCGAATAATGTAAATAGTGTACATAATACCTCATCTCAGAAATATAGACAGATACTGAAGGGCTGAAACGTTGTAATAAATATGGCGACAAAGATGAGGACAATAGTCCGAATAATGTAAATAGTGTACATAATACCTCATCTCAGAAATATAGACCGATACTGAAGGGCCGAAACGTTGTAATAAATATGGCGACAAAGATGAGGACAATAGTCCGAATAATGTAAATAATAGATTCATTTGTGTAAATTTTTGAGTTTGCTTCCACGTTTCGCACTTGTACATCATAGCATTATGCAGTCATTATACACTTTGACATTGTAAGAATATTGGAAAAGTGTTCTTCATTATGTCTCTATTTTAATTAAATGCTTGCAGCAATTAGGTTTTCATCTTAGAATTTCAGGAAACAAGCCAATCACAAATGAAATAAGGTGTATTGTTTCAAATATGTTGGAACAGAAGTTTATATACAACTGAATCCATGTCCAAATATGGTTTTATCTTTAGTAGCGGGTGATGCCATGTTGAGAAATAACACCAGTTAATAAAGATTACAACGTCCTTGTGACTTCTACAACATGGCATCACCCTCTACTAAAGATAAAAACATATTTGGACATGGATTCAGTTGTATATAAAGTCCTGTTCCGATGTTATTGGTGCCACTCTGCTGAGAGATAGTATTGAGAAATAACACCAGTTAATCAAGATCACAACATCCTTGTGACTTCTACAATACCATCTCTCAGCAGACTGGTACCAAGAACATCTGAACAGGACTTTATATACAACTGAATCCATGTCCAAATGTTTTTAATCTCCAGCATGAATTGAAAAAAGAATAATTATACTTGAAATCAGAAAGAACCAGTTGAAATGTCTGTGATGCATAACATAGGAAGAAGGTGGTGGGGTGGAGATTTGTCACTAACAGCACCCATTGAAGTTAAAAAGGGGCAGAGGGGGAGGAATCATAAAAAGACAAATACTGTAAAAAGTGACAAAAGCTAGGAAGTTGTGGAGATCCATGATCGCTGACATCCTGAAGGAACATAGCACATAGAAGATTAGTTATGATGTGCAGTCAGACCCTTTTTATCAATCAACATGGTAGGCTTGTGTGGATCTATTACACACGAACATACATACATAAATACAAATCACATACAATGCCAAACATTCATTGGTTAATTAATCACCACTACGTTATTATAGATAACTAGCAGTAGAGCCCGGCGTTGCCCAAGGATGTAACAGTAAGAGATAGATCAAGTATCGACCATCATAAAGACTGAAAAATAAAATTGACAAAGATTATTGTTTAAGGTTGACGGACACGTATGTCTTAATTAGTGTTTTTTTTTTTTTTTTTTTTTTTCAAATTAGTCAAGCCCAAACTCAAACAAAAACATTGTTTTCAATCGTTATGAGTCTACCGATTGAATAGAATTTTATTATAAACACTTGTCTTGTAAATGGAATTTTTAAAGCATTCTGAATGGAAAAATAAAGAAAAAAGTGTGCAAGACAATAAGAAACGCTACCTGCCAAAGAAAAGTGAAGTTTTGTTGAAATCAGTTGAAAAATGTAGGAAATCCGATCCCATATATAAAGGAACACACACACACACACATACAAACAACCTGGGTTTTTATAATAAGTATAACTCGATATGAGTTGTCCCCCATTCATTCTGGTGACAGAATCGTGTTTTATCGTGTTTTCAAATTGATTTTGTGCAAAAACAATTGTTTTTCCAATTTTTGGTGCTGTCAGAACCACTGCAAGGTAATTTTATGCAGTCCTGTGAACTTTTGTTGAAATCGGTTGAAAAATGTAGGAAATCCGATCCAATATATAAACGTACAGACAGACACACACACACACACACACACACACACACACACACACACACAATCTGCGTTTTATAATAAGTAAGATTTACAAATCGCAGCAATTTTTATGTACTCAGTTTTGTGCACTTTTGGGAGAAATGGATCACATAAACTTTCTTAAGTCTCCCCAAAGCTCGCTTGCTGATTGGTCGATGCCAACCAATCAGATTGTCTGCATGTGAAGAATAATTCTTCCCATGCAGCAATCTGGAGCCTACAGTCACTTATTTAAGCAAGAATTTTCGAACCCTTTTTAGTGAGAATTCAGCTGCCAAATGAATCCATGACAGTTGAAACCATGCGCCAACCTTCTCACTCACACACTGAACATAACTTGTATACACTCACATAATCTTTTCTTGCACAGCAATATCTTTCAAGAACAATCATTCAAGAGACCCTCCTGAACATTCTTCCAGTGAACTTTAGAACACTAAAATAACAGTTAAAGAGAGGCAACTCTTGTTTTATTCAACCTTTTCTTACTTAAATGCATGTTTTCTTTCACATCGTTGTTTGATATTGTACATCATGTTAAATACATATTTTATGTGTAACAATGTCTTTGGCTTATCCTTTTCTGCGTCAGCCATGTTTCCTAATCTAAAGTTAAATGAATGTGGTAAAATCTGCTACAAGCTCATCTATACATTCAAACTTCAGAAAAAGCATCATAAAGTAATTAATTTGGTTTTGTTATATTGATGATATTTTTTTGTCATGTAGTGTAGTTTTACTGACTCATGGGATGTAGTATGCACTCAACTGCCTCATGGGTAATAGATATTGTTATTTTTTATTCCTTGTGACTTTCTATGTAAATGAGTCACCTCAGTCTCTGTTTTTCTTTTACTTTTTAATGATTTGTACATATGTGATTTTTTATTCTTAACAGGCCAAGAACGTTACACGTCCATGACACGGGTTTATTACAAAGACGCATTTGGTTGTGTAGTAATGTGTGATATTACACAGAGGCATACATTTAAAAATGCTGCCCTGTGGAAGAAAGACCTGGATCAGAAATGTACTTTACCTGATTGCACACCAGTGCCATGCATTCTACTGGCTAACAAGGTATTCTTCAATCACCTGTGATGATGATTTTCTTTTTTTTTTTTAATCAGATATATATTTTGTTAAATAGGATGGAAAAGGAAAATTTAATTAATTTTATTTAGTTTTTCCCATATTCTTACAGTTTTCAATCTACTGGGAGTGAAGAATTAAAAAAAAAAAACTGGTATGGTTAGAATTCAAATGAGTAACTTTCTAATTTTTTTTTTTTTTTTTTTTTTTTTTAAAGACTTTCAGCATACTGCTTTTAAAAATAGAAAGTCACTCATTTGAATTCTAGACATGCCCAAGTTGCAATAGCTCAGAACTAACACTCGTATTAGAATTCAAAAACAGACCAACAATATATGTCACATATTCAAAGTATGAAAAGAAACCAACACCATCAAAAACAAACCCCTTGAAAATGGCCAAGGAAGTGTCCGAAAGTGCTTGAGACAATCGACAGTATGGACAGTTTTTGTATTTTCCACTCTCACCAAATGGAAAAATGTAAGAATGCTGGAAAAACTAAATAAAAAAAAAATTAATAAGATTTTCCTTGTCCATCATATTTACAAAAGATGTTTAAAAGAAAGGATGCTACCCAAATATATATATATATATATATATATATATATATATATATATATATATATCTCCAGGTAAGATGAGAATGAATAAAGTATAATTCCAACGTTTGTAACATTTAATTTAAAAGAGGGCTCAATACAAAGTAGAGCAATATTATTTATTTTAGGATATTACATTGAAAACCATGTCTGAATCACTACACAATTGCAGTCATGTTTCAATGTGTATCAATGCATCTCCTCAGGTGATTGTAAATTACTGGCAAGTGAACAATTTATAAATAAATTTACAATTGCCTGATGGGACGTGTTATGCATTGAAACGTGACTGTAATTGTGTAGCAATTTTGACATGTTTTTTGATGTAATATCCCAAAATAAAGTGTGTGTGTGTGTGTGTATATATATATATATATATATATATATATATATATATATATATATAAATAAAAAAAAAGAAAAGAACAGTAAGATATATAATCCAGTGTTATAGATATTTTTATTTTTACAAAATAGTGCTCAATGTAAATTTACAGAGCATTAATATTATAAATTAATTGATTTAAAATATTTTTTTTTTCGCTACACAGTTCTAACCATGTTTCAAAAATGTGTGTGTGTGAGAGAGAGAGAGATCATTCATATATATATATATATATATATGATCTCTCTCTCACATACACACAGGATTCTGCTTGCTGAAGTAAAACATTGGGAAACTCAAACTTTGCTCCCAATAATTGGTCATTCCTTTTCAACAGATTTACAAAAAATATGTACAAATAATTACATCCATTTAATTACTATTCTTGAACAATTGGCCATACTAAGTGACTATTCCTTGTGATCAATGTTCTTATTTAACCAGAATCTACACCATATAGAAATGTTTCTATAATTAGATCTGGTTGATAGAAAAATACTAAGATACTCTGAATCTTCTTGTATGTGCTCTGTCCCTTGAAGACATGAGTGATCATGACTCTCCACAACTTCCTGTCCTTTGTGATTTTTAGTGAAGTTTGTCATTTTGCTATTTCTACTAATCCCTGTTTTGCCAGCCAAGCTCATTAGCTAGGTTATTTGATGCTTTCCTCTTTCCCTCAATATGTCCTGTGGGTGTCAAATTCTCCAAGCCCTCTTTACTCATTATGTGCCCTAGAAATTTCAATTGTCTCGGTAAATTTGCTTTTTAAGGCTCGCGCTAAATATCTATTAAAATTTTCCCAAATCGTCATATTTCTGTGTAAATGTACATGCTGAACTTGAAATATCAAAATTTTGATAAAACCAACCGTTTTGGAATTATTGACAATAAAAGTTTGGACTCGGTCGCATTCAGCCGTCAGCCATTACTGGCCTTGTTTAACTACATTCACTGCGCACCGTTTTTAGCACAGCAACTTAACAGCCTTTTTACTGCTCTTAACTGATCTTAAATTACTGCGCACTTGTGTCGGAAAGCAATGACAAATGTTTTTTTCTTTATAGTATACCCCTTTTTCTGTGTAGAAAAGCAATGACAAATGTTGTAAAGATTTTATTTTAAATTAAAAATAAAACAAATAATTAATGCACAAAGTTTGCACAAACTTTAAAACAACATGATTGTTTACAAAATAAAAAGAAATGCTCCTTAGCATTTTTTTATTTTGTAAATAAAAAATCTTTACAAAGTTTGTGTGTGCAAACTTTGTAAAGAGCATGATTATCTACAAAATAATAAAAATAATGCTTGAAAGAAATAATAATTAATGCACAGACTTTGTAAAGAGCATGATTTTTTATTTACAAAATAAAAAAAAATGCTAGGAAGGAGCATTTCTTTTTATTTTGTAAATAATCAGGCTCTTTTAAAGTTTGTGCAAAGTTTGCGCATTAATTATTATTTGTTTTATTTTTAATTTAAGATAAAAGCTTTAGTTTATTATTTAATTTTTTTTTAATTTAAAAAGAAAGATTTATTATAAAAAAAAAACAACAGTTGAAAAAAAATACAACACTAGTCATCGCTTTCCAACACAACTTAAGTGCACAGTAATTTAGACGAGTAAGATCAGTTAAAAGCAGTAAAAAGGCCGTTAATTAAGTTTCCACACTCAAAATGTTCCGCAGTGAATGTAGTTAATCAAGGCCATTAATGGCTGACGGCTGAACGTGAATCTGAACTTTTATTGTTGATAACTCCAAAATGGTAGTTTGGGAAAATTTTAATGGTGAAGTACAGTGAGAATTTGTAATGGTGAATTTTTTTCCTACTGCATGGTACAAGGCTAAAATTTTAATCATACACTGAAGATCATACTCACTAACAATGGCCTGCAAGATTATCTTTGTAACTATTTCACTTTGAAAAGAGCTTTTATGTATATATACTAAGCATAGCATTATCAGGCTGTAGTTGTAAAGCTGCCTCTTGTGAATTATTTACTGATTTTACTCCTCTTTGCTCTGCAGTAGGTTCGACCTGATCATATGTGTGAAAAATTACAATCTAAATAATTAATAATTCTTGTATATTCTTTGATTATTTTAAAGGATGACCTTCCTTCTCATAATGTGACCGAGAAAGACTTGGACACTTTTTGTAAAGAACATAATTTTACAGCCTGGGCAAACACATCTGTCAAAAATAATTGGCTGATTAAGGAATCTATGTCGTAAGTATTTGATTTATTCTATTTTGTGTCTGGAGTGAGGAAAATTACAAAACCATTTTTTTTTTTTTTTTTTTTTTTACAGTAAGGTTTGTCATGTACAAAGCCTGGGTGCCACTCAAGGTAGAGGGTTACATTAAGGGTTAGTTTATGTGGATAGGAGGGGACAATAACAATTGACTCTAGACTTGAACAGGTTAAGATTGTAGTGATCAGGGAAACCTCCTCTTGGGAGTCTGTTCCAAAGAGCAGTGGAAGAAGCTGTTTGAGTGGAACTTACTTCTCACTGATGGAATACAAAGGGAATGAGGGTGGTATGGTGGGTCCTAGTCATGAAGGTCAGACCTGGTGGAAGCAGGAGATGCAATTCATCCAAGCACTTTCCAAGGTAGTAGCAATAGAGCCGTGACTCTCTCGCCACATCCTGCTTGTGTGGGGAAGGGGTTGGAGAGTAGAAAATAATTCTTCTTTCATGGAGACACTTTTAAACTCTATCAAGAGTGGAAAATGAGGAATGGGGAGCTTCAATCCAGATATGACAGCAATACTCCATTTTTGGTCTTATCTGACTCATTCGCTCTCTCTCTCACAATTTTTAAATAGATTTTTTTTTCTTATTACTATAAATCTTATTTCTAGTGGGTACCCATATTTGAATTGACATCCCTATTTGTTTTTTATTTTTTTAAACCCTTTAAATTAAATGTCAACTGGCATAGATCGAAATGTCCTACTAAAGAAAAATGTTTCTGACAGGAATCAAACTTTTAATTCAGTTTTTCCATCAGTGAAATTACTCCTATAGCTGAAGTGTACTCTTATAGTAATATTTATCATTTATTTACAGTATTTATTTATTAAATTGTTTATTCAAATGTTTGCCAAACCATTGGCTAATTGTCAATTGATTCAAACTTTATAAAATGGTAAATAAGGATTTCCTTAGAATTGGTTCACATATTTTAATAATTTAGTAAATGTTTATAAATTTATGAATAAAAAATTGTTTTCATATTTATTTCTTTATAAATTAGTAAATGATAATATTGCATTAGTTTTAATTGTATGATTTTTAGAATGTTGTAAATATAAAGTTATTCTTGTAAATAAACAAGCTAATAGTGTTGTTGTAAATTATCAAGAACAAAAAAATGTATAAATTCACTTTTGTCATATGTTTAGGTTTTATTACAATTCTAATCATCACTTTTTGAAACAATAAACATTGCCAAGGATTGAAGGTAGTTAAAATAATAGCAGTGTCAAGGGGAAAACCATCCTTTTGATACTGTTCTTTTTTTTGTGGGTGCAAAGGTTCAAATTTGCCAAAAAAAATGTCTCGTATGATAAAAAAACAACACTGCTTTAAAAATCTGTATAGAGTAATGAATTTTCAAACTTAAGAAAAAAGTAAATAGATAACTTGGATTATTGCCAGATCGCAAGGAGCTTATAATTGTGTTAACAAAATGTTTCTTATTGTTTTTTATACTTTAAATAAGATTTCCAGTTGTATTTTTTTTTTTTTTTTTTTTTTTTTTTGAATTTTTGTTTTTCTGCAGGTATTTACTGAGAGAAATGATGAACAAATACAAAGAAGTGAACAAGGAAAATAGTCAAAAAACCGAATTGACCTCCAGTATGGAATTACAACCCAAAAAAGCTTACTATAAGTGCTGTTAACATTTGGTCATTCTCCTTTCAAAATAACACCAAAGTTCTAATTGCCTTGTCATCTGATGCCTTGATCAGTCTTTGAGACAATTCTTCAGTAGGGGGTTGGGGGTCAGGAATGGACACCTGACAAACAAGATTCCCCCACAAAATTGTTGACTTATTTTTTCAAATATTTAAATTTTTCACATTATTTTTTTATTTTCAAAAACGATCAAAATGCTTTAATTGCAGCATAATCTAACTTATTTACAAACTTAAAAAAGTGTTTCTATTAAGATTCTAAATTATATCCAGAAATGAAGTTGTTTTTTTTTTTTTGTTTTGTTTTCTTCCCAAAAATGTTCCTTAATGGGTAACAAAATGAGAAAACCAACAAGATATAAAAATACATCGTCATGTAAGAGATGAGAAACATTTATCAGTCAATGATTTACAAATTCATAATTCTTTTTTTAATAAGAATATTTTCAATGGTTTAAGTAAATATATTTGTAATAGAATCTAAGAAATTTTTAATGTGATTTAAGAAACCTAGGGGCAGATAACTCTTACCTCAGCAACTTTATAGTTAAAAAATACCAACAGGTTATCCAGTGAAACTCATTAAAATCTTACCAAAGACTGACATTTTTTTTTTCCTAGTGCTTTGTCGTTGTAAATATTATTCCTTTGTAACATAAAAAGATTTGTATATTTTTGGCAACTAAAAATTTTCAAATTACATTTATGAAATTTCCCTGGACTTTTATTATAATTGTGTTTGTCCTTCTCTTTGTTAGTTTGCCCGACTGTCACACCTTTTGCCAATATCTCATAGATAATGAACATTTCCGTTTTGGCCAGGTGGAAAGAAGGAAAAAAACACTATTTGGTTTCAGTGAGAAAATGAAAGAAAGAAGCTAAGATAAAATTAGAGAGAGAGAATCAGATTAAGCTTATTAACTTACTACACTTTGATCTTAGTTTGGGAATCAATGGTGACCATGATAAAATCACCATTTTTCAGATGCACGGTATCAACTGTTTGGGAACACCAGATACTGTAAGCAACCTATAATCCAATCCCAAATATATTTTGACTTTAAATAACACACAAAGGGTTGATAAGCCATAAAAAACAAACAAAATCTAATGACAAACCACTTTACATGCCCACATCTTCAAACCACCCACTAATGATAATCAGACTTTAGCCAGATTATCTGGCAAGTCTTCTCCTGAAACAGAGATTATGAAAGGGCTCAAATGTATAGTTGGATTTTGGCAATGCCCACGTGTGTGCCACACAGAACTAAAAGGCCGACAGAAAACAGTTGAAAGCCTATATCTAGAAGCAGAGAAAACGTCAAAAAATAAAAGTAAAATGGAAGTAAAAGAAGGACTCTGAAAAGAAAAAAATCTTTTAACTACAGTAAATATATGAACAGCACAATTCTCTTATGTAAATTTATACTATTTACATCATTTGGATTATTGTCCTCCATATTTATATTTCAACCATTGTACAATCCAACTGTCTTCAGGTGATTTATGTTAGAATTTCGAACTGAACCCTTTTAGTCCACAGAGGTAGAGGGTTCTAATTCCACATACATAGTTCAATACCTCATCCCATATATATATATATATATATATATATATATATATTCCCAAGAAGATAGAATCCAGGTAGAACTCAATGACCAGGACAGAGTTAAGAATATAATATAAAAGACTCAAACACTAATATTCAATGGTTATAATTTATTACATTGTAATTGTAATCATGATCCAATTCATCTGACCTACAAATTCAAAAATTTGTTTTGAATTTGTGTTATAGTGGAACACACCTATTCTACAGTTAATAGACTCTCCCGCCTATAATAAGTAGGAGTAGTAAGAGTAACAAGTAAGTCGCTCAGTGGGTCGGTCAGTCAGTTGATGCCGGACGACAGTTAGTTGGATACTAAAGTATCACCGACCACAACTAGATTGCTCTATTATATGAAGTTCCTAACGTTTTGTACGTCGAACCTATTTTAGGACCGACTTAGTACAAATACAAGCCTCCACTGTGAAATCACTCCATAACAAATCTGGCGACAAGGGATTCGTACTCATACGGAGAGAGAAAAAAAAAAAAATTCACCCGCCATAACAAATTTGGCCCCGAGTATTCGAACTCATACGGAGGAAGAAAAATTTTCATTCGCCTCAGTATAATTTGGCGAAGGGATTTGGATTCATACAGCAGAAAGAAAAAAAAAGTTCGCTCGCTGCAACATAATTTGGCCACAAGGATTCGGATTCATACAGTGGGAGAGAAAAAAAAAATTGCGTTCGCCACAGTATTATTTGGCGAAGGGATTCGAATTCATATGGTGGAAGAGAAAAAAAAAAATTCGCTACATTATTTGATGATGAAATTCGTACTCATATGGAGGAAAAAGAAAAAACTTGCTCGTCACAATTTCGGTGACAAAATCTCGGATTCACATTTAAAAAAAAAAAAAAAACTTGGCAAAGTTTTCAAAAGACAAGATGTCAACTTAGTGACGAAAAAATCGGTCGTATTCTCAACTGAGAAAAGAATTTTTTTTTTCTTGATAAGACAGTTTGCTCAAATAGGTCACGAATTGCAAATTTGTACGACCCCCTCTACAATATTTAAGCATTGTGTAAAATTTTTGCGAAGATGGAGGAATGAAAAAATATATTTCAGGAATTTTTTAAGTTCCAGATGGAATAACAGATGACAATATTAGAGCAACAGAAAACATTCCAGATGCAACTACAGGAGGAAACTTTAATAGACAAATGCAGTTTCAACGAGAAATGGAACAGATGCATAGGGAGTTTCAAAACAAAATTCTGGAAATAACTGAGAAGAGGAAAGAGAAAAATCTACAAAATGATTCTTTCCCAGAGAATACAATATGGAATTCAATTGAAATATTCACATACAGTACAGATGAAGAGGTAACTTTTGAGGAGTATTATAAAAATATATGGACGTGGTCTGAAGGAAAGAAGGTTAGGCTTCTTTTAAGCAAGTTAGAAACTGCTGAGCATGACAAATTGGTAAACTACATTTTACCAAAAAAAAACTAGCGAGTTGACATTTACCGAGGCGGTAAATATATTAAGTGAATTATTTAGTAAAAAGATATCTTTGTTTTACAAGAGGTGGAAACGTTTGAATCTGATGAAAGATGACGAACAAGACTATAACGTATGCAGCCAATGTGAACAGGCATTGTGAAGAATTCAAGCTGGCAGAGTTAAGCACTGACAATTTTAAGTGCTTAGTGTTTGTTCAAGGGCTGGTATCGGAAAGAGACGCAGAGTTGAGAAAATTAGTACTGACAAAATTAGAAAACAAACCAAGGATTACAATAGAGAAGTTGGCAGAAGACTGCACAAGATATGTTAGTGTAAAGAAAGATTTGAAAAAGATAGAACAGTCTGGCGTTTTGCATGTAAGGAAAATACGCTACAAAAAAGAAAGTCTACCAAAAAGAATTCTAAAATTGTGGATTATCAAACAAAAAGTGAAATACCAGAGAAAAATAAACAAAAACTCCCGAAGACATGTTTTGTTTGCGGTGAACTTCACTGGTACAGATATTGCAATTTTAAGAATAAAAAATGTTTCAACTGTGAAAGAGTGGGTCATAAAAGCTCGATCAGCCACAAAGGAGCGTTCGGTAGGCAAGTAAATTCGACCTTGCCTGCGAACACTCCTTTAATGGCCGAATCGGTTAAGGCACGTCAGCGTAAATGACGGTTCCGTATAGGATGCAGGTTCGAATCCTGTCAAAGGACGAATATTTTCTATGAAAATTTCTCGGACATTCAGGCCGGTAAATGTTATTTAATACTGTTTATTATAAACAGAGCATTTACTTAAATACTTGTATCTATAAAAAAGAACGTTAAACATAAAAAAAAAATGTCTTTAATAAATAAATTGTCGGACTTTGTCCATAACAAAACTCAAAAATAACATATAAACTAACACTATCAAGTGATACTAGACTAACACAAATTACTAAATAAAACAAGAATTTCTCAAAATGCAGGCATGAAAAATTTTTGCTATGTTATTTAAAACTTGAAAACTAATATCTTGTCAGACATTTTTAAAAAATGCAAATATAAATAGCTTCAAAAAAAGTTGGTTCTCTGTTTGGCACCAGAAAGTTTTTCTCATCTGAGTCCATCCTTCAAATCTATAAATCAATCATTTGACCTTGAATGGAATACTGCTGCCTTATATGGTTTGGAGTCTCTGCTGTTCATCTCAAGGTCCTCGACAAAATCCAGAGACGGATATGCAATGTGATTGGTCCTGATCTGCCATCTCGTCTACAGTCACTTGCTCACAAATGTGCCGTCGCTTCCCTCTGTCTTTTCTGCAAATACTTTTACAGTAACTGCTCCAATGAACTACTTTAACTGGTTCCCAGACTGCATGAATTTAAATGAGCTACTAAATTGGCATCTCAGTCCCACTGTTTCGCTGTTGAAATGCTTAAATGTAGCCATCTCATATACTCCTATAGCTTCATGTCTTGCACTTACCATCTGTGGAACTCCCTTCCTCTTACTTGATTCTCTGACAGCTATAATCTTCAATTATACAAATGCAATGTCAATTGACACCTTCAGATGCCTTGATCTAATTCTCCATCCTTCTCTTCATCCTTTCCTCTATCAGGCCTCTTTATTCTTGCCCCCACTCTCTGTAACCCCTTGTGGTACTTCTCACTTTGCTTGAAGTGAAATGCTTAAAAAAAAATATGAATGAAACCCAATAAACAAGTAAGTTAACAGAAACCATACAAATGAATACAAATCCACAAAAATATAACAAATTTTAGGCCAGTTATCTCCCTTGGCTCTGCTTTACTTGTCTTGTTAGTAACAATAGATTTCTGGGGGAAATATGGTTTTCTTCATCTTCGTTTTTATTAAATT